GGCTCGGGTCCAGCCTCTCCAGGAATCTGGAGGAGTCCTGAAAAGCCTCTGTCCAAAAGGAGGACGGGCCACGACCAGTGTCGCAGATCTCCGTCGAGGACGGATAATCTCTTCCGCGCGGATCGAGCCGTTCGCGAGCGGATACGCGCGCGAAAAAGACGGAAAACATGGAAACGACGGACGAAACGGGGAAGATAAGACGCTGGGGGGTTGGAACCGAGCCAGATATTTATGTCGATGCCGCTGGACCGCAACGGTGATACGGGGGAAGACCGTGACATTGGGGGGGGGGGGCGGGGCGCGCGGGCGCGATGGTGGTGAAAAAAGGAAGCGTGTTCTTCCTGTGTAATTGTCGCTGAGAGTTCCAGTGTGGATTTCTGTGCAGATTTGTGGGAGAGCATGTTTGGGAGGTTGTTGTTTTCGGAGAGTGCAATTGTATTACAATTTTTCAAGTATTAATCTTTTGATGGTACGGTGGAGGTTTGCAGAAAAGTATGTTTGGAGGAGTACTGATATCTTATGCAATACTTTATAATTGATATAACGACGAGAATATACAGTTGCATCCCGCATCAACCCTCTCTTGGCTCGCAAATGAAATGGGAGAATAAGAATAATTCGTACTCGGATATTGACATGTCTATGAATCATACAAATATTAAATATTGAATTGTTAGACTCGCGGAAGGGACGATTCGGAATCGCGGGCAGAAAAGAGAAGACGAAGGAGACGTCTGTATGCCATTGAAAGGATAATGGAATCATGATAATTCGCATTGGACCGAACGATTGGCCGCTGTCCCTGGCCACTGTCCAGCCTGTCTTAGAAAGCTCACAGTGCATATTCTCCGCGTAGACATAATGCTTCTTCGGCCAAAAACGCGGCCAGACGTATTTATTTCACGCGAAAGTCTGCTCGGAGTATCCGTTTACTCCTATCTCCGAAGTGGATACGTTTGCTACTGACTGACCGTAGTTATAAGAGGCTAGAGAGTACTGAGCTTAGCTATAGAGAGCTAGAGAGTACAAAGTTTAGCTGTAGGGGGCTAGAGAGTACTGAGCTTGGCTGTAGAGAGCTAGAGAGTAC